TTGCAAATATCAATATGACATTCGATTATCAGTCTTTAACAACGATTCTTGTTACAAATATAGAATTGAAATTGAAATAATTAAATCGAGATAAGATTTTAAAAAGTTTATTCAGTACTATATTTTTTTCATAAATTTATTTTCTGCGTAGGAACACTACCTATTCTTTACACAAGATTTTGTTTTTGTTTGTTTTGATTTTTGATACATTTAACCATGGGTAACCGTACGATTTATACTAATATCTATATAATTAAATTTTTCTTCATTGTTATACTTTGGACAGACACAATAAGGACCTGTTTGCATCATCCTGACTGACAAAGAATGTAAACTTTGATACTAAACTAAATTAAAATAAATCCTATGAATATAATGATGAATTAAGTCGAATCGGGTTATTTAAAAAAATAGCCTATCGTTTTCTTTTTAACGGTAAAAATGAATAATGCTTTTGTTTGTGCTTACAATCTCTGACGCTTCACAAACAATAAGTTTTTCACGGGGATAGAAAATTTATGTCATTTGCGTTATAAATTCACATAAATAGTAATGTCTATTGACCGTCACGGGTGTGAACGCACTATGCTGAAACAGAAGAAACTCAAACAACAGTTTGGAAATATAACATTCCGTTAATAAATTTTAAAATTATTAAGAAACTACGGTTTCAATTCACTCAGGCAAAGTTGACCTTATAGATGGATTTGGCTTTTTATATGTTCTTTTTGGTCATATAGCTCTTCAACTCTTTCGGATCTTGTATACATCCTTGGCTTTCAAATATTCGACTTTGAGCGTTCTCGATGAGGGTAAATCCAGAAAAGCGCTTCGGACGCATGAAATTTATAAATTGTTGTTTTCATTTTTGGCAAACTTACTTTGTATTATCTTTTGATATTTTAGAATTTAGAGGGAACATCTTTCTCTTTTACGTGTATGTGTAGAATTAATAATATCAAAATTTATATTTAGGCGAAGAAAAAAAAAATTAAACGATGTATAGATTTAAAACATTTAGATTTTCTATTGATGTTAATGTATATATCTGTATATTTTAGAATTGAGTAGTTGTTAACATTACAGAAATCACAAGAATTCATTTCGTGTTTTGAAGTATCTCTATACATTTTCGGTTTATGATTTTTTATTGATTTGAATTCAGAGCACTTACATAAATTAGTTTTTAATATAAATTTATTGGACAAAGATTTCGAAATCTTCTACACTGATTTTTAGAAGCCAAACTTTTAATGTTTCTATTCTTAAATTTTGTTTTGAGAATTATGTTTTATCAATCATTTATGGCTCTGAAAATAGGTGAATACACATACATAAAAAATACAAAAAAAAGCAAAAGATAAAAACGTGATGAAGACGAAACTGAAGATACATGGCATGATTCTCAACGTACATCAGAGAAAATTTTTCATGAATGTAGACCCGCGCTGAGAACAGATATTCTATATTATATGCATGTTCAGTATTTCAGAGGGTTTTTTTGGTGGGTTGTCGTCTAATAACATCACACCTCCTCATATTAATAATGATTGTTCTCCTTAATTTTTATACGAGTTTCTGAAAGATAAATCATTTTTGTAATACATTGTTAATCGCGTTAACTGCTTAAAACTTTGTTGATGTTATTTTTGCAATTGCTCAACTGTTTACCTTCTAATGGATGAAAAGAAACGAAAAGTCAAAACACTTCAACACCGCTGAGCCAGCAGACATGTATTGGCTTGAAACAGCTGTTCCACAAAACATTTAGGATTTGGCCAGTTCGAAGCATTTTTCCGTTTTCTTAACTGAATAGTCGGGTGTTGGTGGTTGCTGTGGTCTGTTGTAATGGGAATATTTTTGGTTATTTGTGATATCCTTTATATGTGATATGTATTAAACAACTTGGCAGGAGAACGAATTCATATCCCGAAGTTTTCAAGTAAAACGGAGTGTTAAAACTGAACGAGTTTTAGTTAGTAGCAGCCGTTGATTTTAGCATTACTCCTTTCCTGTGCAAACGTGGGAAAACCTGGTTTATTTATTAGTTAAAATTGGCTTTGAAGTAGCTTTCAGTAACTGCGAGTAATCTTTGATCAGTACTTTTTGCTTTTTGTTATTCGTTTTTTTTTTTGCTGTGCTTCACGCTGATCTGATGCGTCAAGTTTTTTCCAATTGACTTTTAGTTTTTTTTTTTGTGTGTAGTTTTTTGTGTGTGTGTGTGTGTGTGTGTGTGTGTTGTGCTGATAGCGGTTACACCACTGTGTAACTCCCCCATGTTTTGGGAGGATTGATCGCTCACAAACATGTTTATCCACGCCACTTTCTTAATGTACATGTTCCAAGTCAGGAGCCTGTGATGCAGTGGTTGACATTGGTTGCTCTATGCAACATTTAAGACATGACAGTACTGTTGTTGAAGAGTTGCCGCCGTCAAGTTTTACTGACGACGCGTAGCGGAGACAGTAAAACGGATATTTGCGACCGTCAAAACAAAATTGACGGCGACAACTCTTCAACTACTGTACTGTTTTTTCCGATTCTAAGGCATTGCATAAAGAATTAATACATTAGAGCTTAAAAAAAAGTATACATACATTTGAAATAAAATAAAATTCCGCGAAATTTCATGAATGAATTTGGCGCATATAGACGTCATGACTAAACGTGACGTTATACAAAAGAGCACTTACACACTGAAGGTTAAATATTACGTTACTTCTACGATTCAAATTTTGGGTAAAATTTCACCAAAATGGCGTTTTTGAGGTAGGTGCTGTATTATTTTCGATAATATTGTATTTATCGAACATTTGTTGATCCAAGCATTTCAAAATGGCGGGTCACTCCTTAGTTATAACATGTCAACTGTGTATTTGATGGTAACTTTTAGCAATGCCAATGAAAAAGACATGTTACATAAAAATTGCATTAGAATTGTTTTTCGGTTTTTGATTTTAGCATATTTATTTATAGATAAACTCATCATAGATACCAAGCTTAACATTTTGTACACTAGACGCGCGTTTTGCCGGTCTTCAAAAGACTCACCAGTGACGCTCGCATCAAAAAGTTTAAAAGGCCAAATAAAGTACGAAGTTGAAGAGCATTGAGGACCCAAAATTCCGAAAGGTTTGGTCAAATACAGATAAGGGAATCTATTCCCGGGGAAGAAAATCCTTATTATTTAGAAAAATTCAAAACATAAGTGCTGACTACTAGGCTGGTGATACCCTCAGAGATGAAACCTCCACCAGTAGTGGCAACTACCCAATGGTTTCAAATAAACCCATCATAGATGCCAGGCTTGAAATTTTGTACGCCAGACACGCGTTTCGTCTTCAAAAGATCCGATCGTTTGTTTTCTCTTATGAATTGTTTCTCTTTTTGTCATTCCGGAACCTTTTGTATATAACATGAGAGTACCCAAATTGCACCTATTTTGACAGTTTTTTTCACCTTTTTTTTTTATGATCCAGACAAAAGTTTCCATTATGGGTTTATTTTGTAGATGTATTCTTATTTACTATTTAATTCCACCAGTTTAATTTTGAATCCATATTGAATCATAGTTAAATGGGTTTGAACCGATCTCCAAACTATCCATGATTCTGTAATAAAGAGTACCCAAATTGCATCCATGCTTAAATTCACATCCTTAAAAATCGAATAACAGATGTTTTGTTTTATTTCTTCAAATATTTAGAACAATTTGACATTAGTCTATGCTTACTATTCATTTTTTAAGAAATGGATGCTTGTAACCTATTTTATTTGCTCATTTTTAAAAGATGACTTTTTGAGAACGTCGCATCGTGACGTTTCCGCAGTTTAACTTTTTCCAGTGAATGCTTCATCTGTTGATATATACTGTAAACGTTTAGTGTATATTTAAATACATTCACCTATGTTGAAAGAAGTGTATAATGTCAAATCTTAAAAATACAAATTGTTTAGTCTCAAAAAAACTTGTAAGATTTCCTCAGCTATTTTTGTTGAATAGGTGCAATTTGGGTACTGTGACGTTAGCTTACTATACGATATGTGTTTTGCTCATTGTTAAAGGCCGTACAGTGACCTATAGTTGTTTCAATCCTTGCCCTCTGGTCTCTTGTGAATAGTTGTTTCATTGGCAATCATATTATATTTCTTATTTTTATAACTCAATCCTATTGTAAGACCATTCATGCAATATAAAATAGACAGTAACGGGAAAAGCCAAATAACTATGACAAGTTGACACATAGAAAATTGAAGATACCAAGGGGACATTCAAAACACGAACCCCATTAAAACTGGGGCTGAACTTAGGTGCTCCTAAAGGATAAGCAGTTCCTGTGTCGCATGTAGCACCCGTCGGAAAAGAGGAGTAACACGGCATCAAATATACATAATATAAAGAACATTTTAAATATAAAAGCAATTATGGGTCAAAAATATTACCTACAATTTCTATCCAGTGTCACCATATATCATCTGTTCTTGGAGATAGGTATATATATTTGAATTAGCTTACCATTCACTTTTCTGATGGATCTCTTGAAATTTGAGACTAGATAGTCCTTAACAAAAAATTGTAGCATCACCCTAACGAAACTGAAGTTGTTATATTGTTGTTTAGAAAAGTCGAGACAATTTCGTTAATTAAATTTAAAATCGAATAGTGTTTTCAAGAATCTAGCACTAAAATTTCTAGGGTATCAAATTAATGTATTAACGGGGAATTTTTTTTAATAAACTTAATAATTTTCGACTGATATCAAGTAACAAAGGGAAACAACTCGAGGCTAGTGGCGATGTAAAGTTTCACATTTGTATTAACACTTATCGGATGAATTGTTGTTTATTTTTACTATTTCATACTTAGGTTGCTGTCTCATAATCCACATCTTATTAATAATTTCTGTATGATAAATTATGTTCGCTGCAAAATGGCCATGTTATTCAAAACTTCTTAAAACTTTTCTTCTCTAAGCTACCATGCAACTTCTTACACTCTAATGAATGATAAAGAAAAGAAAAGTGAGTCAGTCATACTTCAACCCATGTTGCTCTTCATCAAGGGTTATCGTTATATTATAGGGTTAAAAAAAATCTAAATTTCATCACATATAAAAGCCACAGAAATTTAAAAAAAAATAATATTTTATTCCCAGCTTTTCACAGTCACAGCATTTATTACGACAAGTTTACGAATTATTCATTAAAATCATTCTGTTTGGCCTAATATATTTAGTGTAAACAGTATTTCATTTTGAAAAAAATAACATAAACATTACAATATGACAGTTTTATTATGATTGGAAAACAAGTGAATACATATTGTTTAAAACGCCATTTTTGAAAATTTTATAGAATCCTTGGTTTATTTTCATAGTTTTTGAAAGAAAAAAGGTGCCAATGTTAAATGAAGTAAAATCTAGAGAGATTCATTTCCCGCCAAATTTTCAATTGGTTATATCTCAAAAACAAGGACACAGCCCTTTAATTTTTTCTGCTTTTTAAGTTCCGTATTTTATATACTATCAATGTGTTACAGTCTTTTAAAAAGCTTGTTATTTTGAAACAGAGGAGCGAACATCCTGTTTTATTATGCTTAATTTTATATATTAAATCTGCCAGTCCAAACTCGGGATCATCATAATTATTGTCTTTTGTTATTATCTTAAATGGGTTTTGTCTTGAAGTAAATTACGTTTTGATAGTAGGTCTCTTTTGAAATTATTCACCACTTTTCTCAACTCTGGGCGATTATGAGCTTGATAACATACTTTTGTTTGGACACTAAGGGTCTTCTGTTTGTTGTTGTTGGGTTTTTTTTAATGTTTTGTGCATTTTTGTTATTTGCAATTGGTTTGTTTGTATGTTAAGGTTATTTGTTGTTTGCTTGGTTTTTTGTTTGTTTGTTTGTTTGTTTGTTTGTTTGTTTGTTTTGGTGTTTTTTTTATTCGGGGGCTGTTTTCTGTGTCGCTTGGTGATTTCGTACCCCGCAAATCTCTTTATTTATGTTCATTCAATTTGTCATTCTTTTAATTAATTAATTAACATTACTTTACTTTCAGTAATTTACAGATGAATGGCGAAGACGTTTCTTAGATTCCATCCAGCATGTCGAACACATTGGGTAAAACATTGTAAGTTCTCGTTTCTCGTTTTTTATATAGATTAGACCGTTGGTCATTTTTGGGGCCCTTTATAGCTTGCTGTTCGGTGTGAGCCAATGCTCCGTGTTGAAGGCCGTACTTTGACCTATAATGGTTTACTTTTACAAATTGTGACTTGGATGGAGAGTTGTCTCATTGGCACTCATACCACATCTTCTTATATCTAAGTAGTCAGAATAATATCTGTCAAATCGTTATTGTTAACCTGCTGTTGTCTCCTTTCTATTATGACTTTAAGATGTCATTTTGTAGTTTCATTATGTTTTGGGGTGGCTGTCTAATTCCAGCCATTCTTTAAAAAAAAAGGGGATTCCAGCACATGCAAGTCATATAGAAAAGGGGGGGGCGTTCCAACCATATGTCCCTACACAAAACACCCCCACCTGGATCCACCACTAATTGATGTATACCATTCAAAAATCAAAGATAAATTTATAAATTATACCATATCAGGCGTTTCACCTGACAATGCAACACGATGAAGCACATCACATCATTGATTTTAGGCACCGCGACCATTCAGTTTTTTTATTTTGTTTCGGTGAAGGGGAGGGGGGGGGGGGGTCATGTTATTTGTAAATGATTTGATTGATACTTAATTTCTTGGGAAAAAATAACCTCTAATGGAAGTATTGAAACAATAGTTTGTTTCTTTTGAAAATTAATAAATTAAAAAGAAGAAAATTGATTTTCTAAATGAATAATATCTTGTTACTTTTTGTTATTGAAAAAATAGTTTGTATTTGATTAGAATTGGATACAACAGTCTGTGCTGAGAACCCCACCCACACAAGTTGAATGGTCGCTGACGACGCTGACTTATTTACAAATCTAAGAAAGATAACTCTGCACCCACAACAATATTATAAATATATTGTCTACTGACTACATTTTCATTTTAAATATATCATAATGTCCTGTCTGCCATTATATAGATAACCAAAATCTAATGTGATACAATAAAACTAACACAAGAAGTTTTTCGATCATAAAATTAAAATGATATCATTGATTTTTAAACAAAATATTAAATGACATTCGTTCGTTACACACCACTAATGTTCAAGTAACACTTTATCTACTGCTTCCTTTCAGATACTCTATGGACAAGGCTCATACTGATCCTATCGATTTCATGTAGTGTATCTACGGAAAATACAACAGAAACTACAACTACAACAACGGAAGCTATCACTACAACTGTGGAACCTACAATAACAAATTATAACACTACAACTGTAGAACCTACTACAACGGATGCCATCTCTACAACTGTTGAACCCACAACAGTAGAAGCTAACACTACAACTGTTGAACCTACAATATCGGAAGTTATCACTACCACTGTAGAACCTACAACAACAGAAGATACCACTAAAACTGTTGAACATACAACAACAGAAGCTATCACTACAACTGTGGAAACAACAACAATAGAAGCTGCCACTACTACTATTCAACTTAAAACGGAAGCTATCATTACAACTGTTGAACCAACAACAACTGAAGTTACCGTTACAACTGTAGAACCTTCAACTACAGAAGATAGAACTACAACTGTAGAACCACCTACAACAACAGATACCATCACTACAACTGTTGAACCTACAACAACTGAAGTTATCATTACAACTGTAGAACCTACAACAACGGAAGATACCATAACAACTGCTGAACCTACAACAACAGAGACTATCACTTCAACTGTCGAACCTACAACAAATGCTGCCACTACTACTGTGGAACTAACAACAACGGAAGCTATCATTACAAATGTTGAACCTACAACAACACAAGAAACATCTAAAACGGTAGAAACTACAACAACGGAAGATACCACTACAACTGTTGAATTTACAACAACAGAGGCTATCACTACAACTGTGAAACCTAGAACAACAGAAGCTATCACAACAACTGTAGAACCTACAACAACAGATGCCATCACTTCAACTGTTGAAAATACATCAACAGATGTCTTCACTACAACTCTTGAACCTGCAACAACAGAAGCTATCACTACAACAGTTGAATATACAACAACAGAAGCTTCTACTTCAACTGTAGAAATTACAACAACAGAAGATATAACTTCAACTGTAGATTTTACAACAACAGAATCTATCACTACAACTGTAGATTTTACAACACCAGAATCTATCACTACAACTGTGGAACCTACATCAACAGAAGCTCTGACTACAACTGTAGAACCTACAACAACAGAAGGTATAACTACAACTGTAAAACCTACAACAACGGAATCAATCACTACAACTGTGGAACCTTCAACATCAGAAGCTATCACTACAACTGTGGAACCTTCAACATCAGAAGCTATCACTACAACTTCGGAACCTTCAACATCAGAAGCTATCACTACAACTGTGGAATCTTCAACATCAGAAGCTATCACTACAACTGTAGAATCTACAACAACAGAAGCCATCACTACAACTGTAGAACCTACAACAACGGAAGCTATCACTACAACTGTAGAACCTACAACAACAGAAGCTATCACTACAACTGTGGAACCTACAACAACCGAAGCTGCCACTTCTACTGTAGAACTTACAACAACTGAAGATATAACTTCAACTGTAGAACCTACAACAACGGAAGCTATCACTACAACTATGGAATCTTCAACATCAGAAGCTATCACTACAACTGTAGAATCTAAAACAACAGAAGCCATCACTACAACTGTAGAACCTACAACAACGGAATCTATCACTACAACTGTAGAACCTACAACAACAGAAGCTATCACCACAACTGTGGAACCTACAACAACCGAAGCTGCCACTTCTACTGATGAACTTACAACAACTGAAGATATAACTTCAACTGTAGAACCTACAACAACGGAAGCTATCACTACAACTGTGGAACCTTCAACATCAGAAGCTATCACTACAACTGTGGAACCTTCAACATCAGAAGCTATCACTACAACTGTGGAATCTTCAACAACAGAATCTATCACTACAACTGTGGAACCTACATCAACAGAAGCTTTGACTACAACTGTAGAACCTACAACAACAGAAGGTATAAATACAACTGTAAAACCTTCAACAACGGAATCAATCACTACAACTGTGGAACCTTCAACATCAGAAGCTATCACTACAACTGTGGAATCTTCAACATCAGAAGCTATCACTTCAACTGTGGAACCTTCAACATCAGAAGCTATCACTACAACTGTGGAATCTTCAACATCAGAAGCTATCACTACAACTGTGGAATCTACTACAACAGAAGCCATCACTACAACTGTAGAACCTACAACAACGGAAGCTATCACTACAACTGTAGAACCTACAACAACAGAAGCTATCACTACAACTGTAGAATCTACAACTACAGAAGCCATCACTACAACTGTAGAACCTACAACAACGGAAGCTATCACTACAACTGTAGAACCTTCAACATCAGAAGCTATCACTACAACTGTGGAACCTTCAACATCAGAAGCTATCACTACAACTGTGGAACCTTCAACATCAGAAGCTATCACTACAACTGTGGAATCTTCAACATCAGAAGCTATCACTACAACTGTAGAATCTACAACAACAGAAGCCATCACTACAACTGTAGAACCTACAACAACGGAAGCTACCACTACAACTGTAGAACCTACAACAACAGAAGCTATCACTACAACTGTGGAACCTAAAACAACCGAAGCTGCCACTTCTACTGTAGAACTTACAACAACTGAAGATATAACTTCAACTGTAGAACCTACAACAACGGAAGCTATCACTACAACTGTGGAATCTTCAACATCAGAAGCTATCACTACAACTGTAGAATCTAAAACAACAGAAGCCATCACTACAACTGTAGAACCTACAACAACGGAAGCTATCACTACAACTGTAGAACCTACAACAACAGAAGCTATCACTACAACTGTGGAACCTACAACAACCGAAGCTGCCACTTCTACTGTAGAACTTACAACAACTGAAGATATGACTTCAACTGTAGAACCTACAACAACGGAAGCTATTACTACAACTGTGGAACCTTCAACATCAGAAGCTATCACTACAACTGTGGAATCTTCAACATCAGAAGCTATCACTACAACTGTGGAATCTACTACAACAGAAGCCATCACTACAACTGTAGAACCTACAACAACGGAAGCTATCACTACAACTGTAGAACCTACAACAACAGAAGCTATCACTACAACTGTAGAATCTACAACAACAGAAGCCATCACTACAACTGTAGAACCTACAACAACGGAAGCTATCACTACAACTGTAGAACCTTCAACATCAAAAGCTATCACTACAACTGTGGAACCTTCAACATCAGAAGTTATCACTACAACTGTGGAACCTTCAACATCAGAAGCTATCACTACAACTGTGGAATCTTCAACATCAGAAGCTATCACTACAACTGTAGAATCTACAACAACAGAAGCTATCACTACAACTGTAGAACCTACAACAACAGAAGCTATCACTACAACTGTGGAACCTACAACCTTCGAAGCTGCCACTTCTACTGTAGAACTTACAACAACTGTGGAACCTACAACCTTCGAAGCTGCCACTTCTACTGTAGAACTTACAACAACTGAAGATATAACTTCAACTGTAGAACCTACAACAACGGAAGCTATCACTACAACTGTGGAATATTCAACATCAGAAGCTATCACTACAACTGTAGACTCTAAAACAACAGAAGCCATCACTACAACTGCAGAACCTACAACAACGGAAGCTATCACTACAAATGTAGAACCCACAACAACAGAAGCTATCACTACAACTGTGGAACCTACAACAACCGAAGCTGCCACTTCTACTGTAGAACTTACAACAACTGAAGATATAACTTCAACTGTAGAACCTACAACAACAGAAGCTATCACTACAACTGTAGAACCTACAACAAAAGAAGCTATCACTACAACTCTGGAACCTACAACAACCGAAACTGCCACTACTACTTTAGAACTTACAACAACTGAAGATATAACTTCAGCTGTAGAACCGACAACAACAGCAGCTGTCACTACAACTGTTGAATCTACAACAACAGAAGATATCACTACAACTTTAGAACATACAACAACGGAAGCCATCACTACAACTGTACAACCAACAACAACGGAAGCTGCCACTACTACTGTAGAACTTACAACAACTGAAGATATAACTTCAACTGTAGAACCTACAACAACAGAAGCTATCACTACAACTGTGGAACCTACAACAACCGAAGCTGCCACTACTACTGTAGAACTTACAACAACTGAAGATATTACTTCAACTGTAGAACCTACAACAACGGAAGCTATCACTACACCTGAGGAACCTACAACAACAGAAGCTATCACTACAACTGTGGAACCTACAACAACCGAAGCTACCACTACTACTTTAGAACTAACAACAACTGGAGATATAACTTCAACTGTAGAACCTACAACAACAGCAGCTGTCACTACAACTGTTGAATCTACAACAACAGAAGGTATCACTACAACTTCAGTACATACAACAACGGAAGCCATCACTACAACTGTAGAACTTACAACATCCGAAGCTGCCACTACTACTGTAGAACTTACAACAACTGAAGATATAACTTCAACTGTAGAACCTACAACAACGGAAGCTATCACTTCAACTGTAGAACCTACAACAAACGAAGCTGCCACTACTACTGTAGAACTTACAACAACTGAAGATATAACTACAACTGTTGAATCTACAACAACAGAAGCTATCACTACAACTGTGGAACCTACAACAACCGAAGCTGCCACTACTACTTTAGAACTAACAACAACTGGAGATATAACTTCAACTGTAGAACCTACAACAACGGAAGCTATCACTACAACTGTAGAACCTACAACAACAGAACCTATCACTACAACTGTAGAACCTACAACAAACGAAGCTGCCACTACTACTGTAGAACTAACAAAAACTGAAGATATAACTTCAACTGTAGAACCTACAACAACGAAAGCTGTCACTATAACTATTGAATCTACAACAACAGAAGCTATCACTACAACTGTGGAACCTATAACAACCGAAGCTGCCACTACTACTTTAGAACTTACAACAACTGAAGATATAACTTCAACTGTAGAACCTACAACAACGAAAGCTGTCAGTACAACTGTTGAATCTACAACAACAGAAGCTATCACTACAACTGTGGAACCTACAACAACCGAAGCTGCCACCACTACTTTAGAACTAACAACAACTGGAGATATAACTTCAACTGTAGAACCTACAACAACGGAAGCTATCACTACAAGTAAGGAACCTACATCAACAGAAGCTTTGACTACAACTGTAGAAACTACATCAACAGAAGGTAAAACTACAACTGTAAAACCTACAACAACGGAATCAATCACTACAACTGTGGAACCTACAACAACCGAAGCTGCCACTACTACTGTAGAACTTACAACAACTGAAGATATAACTTCAACTGTAGAACCTACAACAACAGAAGCTATCACTACAACTGTGGAACCTACAACAAACGAAGCTGCCACTACTACTTTAGAACTAACAACAACTGGAGATATAACTTCAACTGTAGAACCTACAACAACAGCAGCTGTCACTACAACTGTTGAATCTACAACAACAGAAGGTATCACTACAACTTCAGTACATACAACAACGGAAGCCAACACTACAACTGTAGAACTTACAACATCCGAAGCTGCCACTACTACTGTAGAACTTACAACAACTGAAGATATAACTTCAACTGTAGAACCTACAACAACGGAAGCTATCACTACAACTGTAGAACCTACAACAACAGAAGCTATCACTACAACTGTGGAACCTACAACAACCGAAGCTGCCACTACTACTGTAGAACTTACAACAACTGAAGATATAACTTCAACTGTAGAACCTACAACAACGAAAGCTGTCACTACAACTGTTGAATCTACAACAACAGAAGCTATCACTACAACTGTGAAACCTACAACAACCGAAGCTGCCACTACTACTTTAGAACTAACAACAGCTGGAGATATAACTTCAACTGTAGAACCTACAACAACGGAAGCTATCACTACAACTGTAGAACCTACAACAACCGAAGCTGCCACTACTACTGTAGAACTTACAACAACTGAAGATATAACTTCAACTGTAGAATCTACAACAACGGAAGCTATCACTACAACTGTAGAACCTACAACAACGGAAGCTATCACTACAACTGTGGAACCTACAACAACAGAAGCTGCCACTACTACTTTAGAACATACAACAACTGAAGATATAACTTCAACTGTAAAACCTACAACAACAGCAGCTGTAACTACAGCTGTTCAATCTACAACAACAGAAGATATTACTACAACTTCAGAACCTACAACAACGGAAGCCATCACTACAACTGTGGAACCTACAACAACCAAAGCTGCCACTACTACTGTAGAAATTACAACAACTGAAGATATAACTTCAACTGTAGAACCTACAACAACACAAGCTATCACTACAACTGTAGAACCTACAACAGAAGCTATCACTACAACTGTGGAACCTACAACAACCGAAGCTGCCACTACTACTGTAGAACTTACAACAACTGAAGATACAACTTCAACTGTAGAACCTACAACAACAGAAGCTATCACTACAACTGTAGAACCAACAACAACAGAAGCTATCAGTACAACTGTGGAACCTAAAACAACCGAAGCTGCCACTACTACTGTAAAACTTACAACAACTGAAGATATAACTTCAACTGAAGAATCTACAACAACAGAAGATATCACTACAACTGTGGAATCTTCAACAACAGAATCTATCACTACAACTTTGGAACCTACAACAACAGAAGCTTTGACTACAACTGTAGAACCTACAACAACAGAAGGTATAACTACAACTGTAAAACCTACAACAACGGAATCAATCACTACAACTGTGGAACCTTCAACATCAGAAGCTATCACTACAACTGTGGAACCTTCAACATCAGAAGCTATCACTACAACTGTGGAACCTTCAACATCAGAAGCTATCACTACAAGTGTGGAATCTCCAACATCAGAAGTTATCACTACAACTGTAGAATCTACAACAACAGAAGCCATCACTACAACTGTAGAACCTACAACTACGGAAGTTATCACTACAACTGTAGAACCTACAACAACAGAAGCTATCACTACAACTGTGGAACCTACAACAACCGAAGCTGCCACTTCTACTATAGAACTTACAACAACTGAAGATATAACTTCAACTGTAGAACCTACAACAACGGAAGCTATCACTACAACTGTGGAACCTACAACAACAGAAGCTATCACTACAACTGTGGAACCTACAACAACTGAAGATATAACTTCAACTGTGGAATCTACAACAACGGAAGCTATCACTACAACTGTAGAACCTACAACAACGGAAGCTATCACTACAACTGTGGAACCTACAACAACCGAAGCTGCCACTACTACTTTAGAACATACAACAACTGAAGATAAAACTTCAACTGTAAAACCTACAACAACAGCAGCTGTAACTACAACTGTTGAATCTACAACAACAGAAGATATCACTACAACTTCAGAACCTACAACAACGGAAGCCATCACTACAACTGTTGAACCTACAACAACCAAAGCTGCCACTACTACTGTAGAAATTACAACAACTGAAGATATAACTTCAACTGTAGAACCCACAACAACACAAGCTATCACTACAACTGTAGAACCTACAACAGAAGCTATCACTACAACTGTGGAACCTACAACAACCGAAGCTGCCACTACTACTGTAGAACTTACAACAACTGAAGATACAACTTCAACTGTAGAACCTACAACAACAGAAGCTATCACTACAACTGTAGAACCAACAACAACAGAAGCTATCAGTACAACTGTGGAACTTAAAACAACCGAAGCTGCCATTACTACTGTAAAAATTACAACAACTGAAGATATAACTTCAACTGTAGAATCTACAACAACAGAAGATATCACTGCAACTGTGGAATCTTCAACAACAGAATCTATCACTACAACTTTAGGACCTACAACAACAGAAGCTTTGACTACAACTTTAGATCCTACAACAACAGAAGGTATAACAACAACTGTAAAACCTACAACAACGGAATCAATCACTACAACTGTGGAACCTTCAACATCAGAAGCTATCACTACAACTGTGGAACCTTCAACATCAGAAGCTATCACTACAAGTGTGAAACCTACAACAACCGAAGCTGCCACTACTACTTTAGAACTAACAACAGCTGGAGATATAACTTCAACTGTAGAACCTACAACAACGGAAGCTATCACTACAACTGTAGAACCTACAACAACCGAAGCTGCCACTACTACTGTAGAACTTACAACAACTGAAGATATAACTTCAACTGTAGAATCTACAACAACGGAAGCTATCACTACAACTGTAGAACCTACAACAACGGAAGCTATCACTACAACTGTGGAACCTACAACAACCGAAGCTGCCACTACTTCTTTAGAACATACAACAACTGAAGATATAACTTCAACTGTAAAACCTACAACAACAGCAGCTGTAACTACAACTGTTGAATCTACAACAACAGAAGATATCACTACAACTTCAGAACCTACAACAACGGAAGCCATCACTATAACTGTGGAACCTACAACAACCAAAGCTGCCACTACTACTGTAGAAATTACAACAACTGAAGATATAACTTCAACTGTAGAACCTACAACAACACAAGCTATCACTACAACTGTAGAACCTCCAACAGAAGCTATTACTTCAACTGTGGAACCTACAACAACCGAAGCTGCCACTACTACTGTAGAACTTACAATAACTGAAGATACAACTTCAACTGTAGAACCTACAACAACAGAAGCTATCACTACAACTGTAGAACCAACAACAACAGAAGCTATCAGTACAACTGTGGAACCTAAAACAACCGAAGCTGCCACTACTACTGTAAAACTTACAACAACTGAAGATATAACTTCAACTGTAGAATCTACAACAACGGAAGCTATCACTACAACTGTGGAATCTTCAACAACAGAATCTATCACTACAACTTTGGAACCTACAACAACAGAAGCTTTGACTACAACTGTAGAACCTACAACAACAGAAGGTATAACTACAACTGTAAAACCTACAACAACGGAATCAATCACTACAACTGTGGAACCTTCAACATCAGAAGCTATCACTACAACTGTGGAACCTTCAACATCAGAAGCTATCACTACAACTGTGGAACCAACAACAACAGAAGCTATCAGTACAACTGTGGAACCTAAAACAACCGAAGCTGCCATTACTACTGTAAAACTTACAACAACTGAAGATATAACTTCAACTGTAGAATCTACAACAACAGAAGATATCACTGCAACTGTGGAATCTTCAACAACAGAATCTATCACTACAACTTTGGGATTTACAACAACAGAAGCTTTGACTACAACTGTAGAACCTACAACAACAGAAGGTATAACTACAACTGTAAAACCTACAACAACGGAATCAATCACTACAACTGTGGAACCTTCAACATCAGAAGCTATCACTACAACTGTGGAACCTTCAACATCAGAAGCTATCACTACAAGTGTGGAATCTCCAACATCAGAAGCTATCACTACAACTGTAGAATCTACAACAACAGAAGCCATCACTACAACTGTAGAACCTACAACAACGGAAGCTATCACTACAACTGTAGAACCTACAACAACAGAAGCTATCACTACAACTGTGAAACCTACAACAACCGAAGCTGCCACTACTACTTTAGAACTAACAACAGCTGGAGATATAACTTCAACTGTAGAACCTACAACAACTGAAGTTATCACTACAACTGTAGAACCTACAACAACCGAAGCTGCCACTACTACTGTAGAACTTACAACAACTGAAGATATAACTTCAACTGTAGAATCTACAACAACGGAAGCTATCACTACAACTGTAGAACCTACAACAACGGAAGCTATCACTACAACTGTGGAACCTACAACAACCGAAGCTGCCACTACTACTTTAGAACATACAACAACTGAAGATATAACTTCAACTGTAAAACCTACAACAACAGCAGCTGTAACTACAACTGTTGAATCTACAACAACAGAAGATATCACTACAACTTCAGAACCTACAACAACGGAAGCCATCACTACAACTGTGGAACCTACAACAACCAAAGCTGCCACTACTACTGTAGAAATTACAACAACTGAAGATATAACTTCAACTGTAGAACCTACAACAACACAAGCTATCACTACAACTGTAGAACCAACAACAACAGAAGCTATCAGTACAACTGTGGAACCTAAAACAACTGAAGCTGCCACTACTACTGTAAAACTTACAACAACTGAAGATATAACTTCAACTGTAGAATCTACAACAACGGAAGCTATCACTACAACTGTGGAATCTTCAACAACAGAATCTATCACTACAACTTTGGAACCTACAACAACAGAAGCTTTGACAACAACTGTAGAACCTACAACAACAGAAGGTATAACTACAACTGTAAAACCTACAACAACGGAATCAATCACTACAACTGTGGAACCTTCAACATCAGAAGCTATCACTACAACTGTGGAACCTTCAACATCAGAAGCTATCACTACAACTGTGGAACCTTCAACATCAGAAGCTATCACTACAAGTGTGGAATCTCCAACATTAGAAGCTATCACTACAACTGTAGAATCTACAACAACAGAAGCCATCACTACAACTGTAGAACCTACAACAACGGAAGCTATCACTACAAATGTAGAACCTACAACAACAGAAGCTATCACTACAACTGTGGAACCTACAACAACCGAAGCTGCCACTTCTACTATAGAACTTACAACAACTGAAGATATAACTTCAACTGTAGAACCTACAACAACGGAAGCTATCACTCCAACTGTGGAACCTACAACAACAGAAGCTATCACTACAACTGTGGAACCTACAACAACCGAAGCTGCCACTACTACTTTAGAACTTACAACAACTGAACATATAACTTCAACTGTAGAACCTACAACAACGGAAGCTGTCACTACAACTGTTGAATCTACAACAACAGAAGATATCACTACAACTTCAGAACCTACAACAACGGAAGCAATCACTACAACTGTGGAACCTACAACAACCAAAGCTGCCACTACTACTGTAGAACTTACAACAACTGAAGATATAACTTCAACTGTAGAACCTACAACAACACAAGCTATCACTACAACTGTAGAACCTACAACAACAGAAGCTATCACTACAACTGTGGAACCTACAACAACCGAAGCTGCCACTACTACTGTAGAACTTACAACAACTGAAGATACCACTACAACTGTAGAACCTACAACAACAGAAGATATCACTACAACTGTGGAACCTACAACAACAGAAGCTTTGACTACAACTGTAGAACCTACAACAACAGAAGGTATAACTACAACTGTAAAACCTACAACAACGGAATCAATCACTACAACTGTGGAACCTTCAACAACAGAAGCTATCACTACAACTGTAGAACCAACAACAACAGAAGCTATCAGTACAACTGTGGAACCTACAACAACCGAAGCTGCCACTACTACTGTAAAACTTACAACAAATGAAGATATAACTTCAACTGTAGAATCTACAACAACAGAAGATATCACTACAACTTCAGATCATACAACAACGGAAGCCATCACTACAACTGTAGAACCAACAACAACCGAAGCTGCCACTACTACTGTAGAACTTACAACAACTGGAGATATAACTTCAACTGTAGAACCTACAACAACGGAAGCTATCACTACAACTGTGGAACCTACAACAGAAGCTATCACTACAACTGTAGAACCTACAACAACAGAAGATATCACTACAAATTTAGAACATACAACAATGGAAGCCATCACTACAACTGTAGAACCTACAACAACCAAAGCTGCCACTACTAATGTAGAACTTACAACAACTGAAGCTATCACTACAACTGTGGAACCTACAACAACTGAAGATATAATTATAACTGTAGATCCTACAACAACGGAAGCTATCACTACAACTGTAGAACCTACAACAACAGAAGATATCACTACAACTGTGGAACCTACAACAACAGCAGCTGCCACTACTACTGTAGAACTTACAACAACTGAAGATATATCTTCATCTGTAGAACCTACAACAACGGATGCTATCACTACAACTGTAGAACCTAAAACAACAGAAGCTATCACTACAGCTGTGGAACCTACAACCACCGAAGCTGCCACTACTACTTTAGACATTACAACAACTGAAGATACAACTTCAACTGTAGAACCTACAACAACAGCAGCTGTCACTACAACTGTTGAATCTACAACAACAGAAGATATCACTACAACTTTAGAACCTACAACAACAGAAGCTATCACTACAACTGTGGAACCTACAACAACCGAAGCTGCCACTACTACTGTAGAACTTACAACAACTGAAGATATAACTTCAACTGTAGAACCTACAACAATGGAAGCTATCATTACAACTGTAGAACCAACAACAACAGAAGCTATCACTACAACTCTAGAACCTACAACAACCGAAGCTGTCACTACTACTGTAGAAATTACAACAACTGAAGATATAACTTCAACTGTAGAACCTACAACAACAGAAGCTATCACTACAACTGTAGAACCTACAACAACCGAAGCTGCCACTACTTCTGTAGAACTTACAACAACTGAAGATATAACTTCAACTGTAGAACGTACAACAACAGAAGCTATCACTACAACTGTAGAACCTACAACAACAGGAGCTATCACTAAAACTTTGGAACCTATAACAACAGAAGCTATCACTACAACTGTAGAACCTACAACAACCCAAGCTGCCACTACTACTGTAGAACTTACAACAACTGAAGATATAACTTCAACTGTAGACCCTACAACAACAGAAGCTATCACTACAACTGTTGAATCTACAACAACAGAAGATATCACTACAACTTTAGAACATACAACAACGGAAGCCATTACTACAAATGTAGAACCAACAACAACCGAAGCTGCCACTACTACTGTAGAACTTACAACAACTGAAGATATAACTTCAACTGTAGAACCTACAAGAACGGAAGCTATAACTACAACTGTAGAACCTACAACAACAGAAGCTATCACTACAACTGTGGAACCTACAACAACCGAAGCTGCCACAACTTCTGTAAAACTTACAACAACTGAAGATATAACTTCAACTGTAGAACCTACAACAACAGCAGCTGTCACTTCAACTGTTGAATCTACAACAACAGAAGATATCACTACAACTTTAGAACATACAACAACGGAAGCCATCACTACAACTGTAGATTTTACAACAACCGGAGCTGCCACTACTACTGTAGAACTTACAACAACTGAAGATATAACTTCAACTGTAGAACCTACAACAACGGAAGCTATCACTACAACTGTAGAACCTACAACAACAGAAGCTATCACTACAACTGTGGAACCTACAACAACAGAAGCTGCCACTACTAATGTAGAACTTACAACAACTGAAGATATAATTTCAACTGTAGAACCTACAACAACGGAAGCTATCACTACAACTGTAGAACCAACAACAACAGAAGCTATCACTACAACTGTAGAACCTACAACAACAGCAGCTGCCACTACTACTGTAGAACTTACAACAACAGAAGATATCACTACAACTTTAGAACCTACAACAACAGAAGCTATCACTACAACTGTGGAACCTACAACAACCGAAGCTGCCACTACTACTGTAGAACTTACAACAACTGAAGATATAACTTCAACTGTAGAACCTACAACAATGGAAGCTATCACTACAACTGTAGAACCAACAACAACAGAAGCTATCACTACAACTCTAGAACCTACAACAACCGAAGCTGCCACTACTACTGTAGAAATTACAACAACTGAAGATATAACTTCAACTGTAGAACCTACAACAACAGAAGCTATCACTACAACTGTAGAACCTACAACAACAGAAGCTATCACTACAACTGTGGAATCTACAACAACCGAAGCTGCCACTACTACTGTAGAACTTACAACAACTGAAGATATAACTTCAACTGTAGAACCTACAACAACAGAAGCTATCACTACAACTGTAGAACCTACAACAACAGAAGCTATCACTACAACTGTGGAACCTACAACAACAGCAGCTGCCACTACTACTGTAGAACTTACAACAACTGAAGATATAACTTCAACTGTAGAACCTACAACAACGGAAGCTATCACTACAACTGTAGAACCAACAACAACAGAAGCTATCACTACAACTGTAGAACCTACAACAACCGAAGCTGCCACTACTTCTGTAGAACTTACAACAACTGAAGATATAACTTCAACTGTAGAACCTACAACAACAGGAGCTATCACTAAAACTTTGGAACCTACAACAACAGAAGCTATCACTACAACTGTAGAACCTACAACAACCGAAGCTGCCACTACTACTGTAGAACTTACAACAACTGAAGATATAACTTCAACTGTAGACCCTACAACAACAGAAGCTATCACTACAACTGTTGAATCTACAACAACAGAAGATATCACTACAACTTTAGAACATACAACAACGGAAGCCATCACTACAAATGTAGAACCAACAACAACCGAAGCTGCCACTACTACTGTAGAACTTACAACAACTGAAGATATAACTTCAACTATAGAACCTACAACAACGGAAGCTATAACTACAACTGTAGAACCTACAACAACAGAAGCTATCACTACAACTGTGGAACCTACAACAACCGAAGCTGCCACAACTACTGTAAAACTTACAACAACTGAAGATATAACTTCAACTGTAGAACCTACAACAACAGCAGCTGTCACTTCAACTGTTGAATCTACAACAACAGAAGATATCACTACAACTTTAGAACATACAACAACGGAAGCCATCACTACAACTGTAGAACTTGCAACAACCGGAGCTGCCACTACTACTGTAGAACTTACAACAACTGAAGATATAACTTCAACTGTAGAACCTACAACAACGGAAGCTATCACTACAACTGTAGAACCTACAACAACAGAAGCTATCACTACAACTGTGGAACCTACAACAACAGAAGCTGCCACTACTAATGTAGAACTTACAACAACTGAAGATATAATTTCAACTGTAGAACCTACAACAACGGAAGCTATCACTACAACTGTAAAACCTACAACAACAGAAGATATCACTACAACTGTGGAACCTACAACAACAGAAACTATCACTACAACTGTGGAACCTACAACAACAGCAGCTGCCACTACTACTGTAGAACTTACAACAACAGAAGCTATCACTACAACTGTAGAACCTACAACAACAGAAGCTATCACTACAACTGTGGAATCTACAACAACCGAAGCTGCCACTACTACTGTAGAACTTACAACAACTGAAGATATAACTTCAACTGTAGAACCTACAACAACAGAAGCCATCACTACAACTGTAGAACCTACAACAACAGAAGCTATCACTACAACTGTAGAACCTACAACAACCGAAGCTGCCACTACTACTGTAGAACTTACAACAACTGAAGAAATAACTCCAACTGTAGAACTTACAACAACGGAAGCTATCACTACAACTGTAGAACCTACAACAACAGAAGCTATCACTACAACTGTAGAACCTACAACAACGGAAGCTATCACTACAACTGTAGAACCTACAACAACAGAAGCTATCACTACAACTGTGGAACCTACAACAACAGTAGCTTCCGCTACAACTGTAGAACCTACAACAACAGAAGATATAACTTCAACTGTAGAACCTACAACAACGGAATCAATTACTACAACTGTGGAACCTACATTAACTGGAGATATAACCACAACTGTAGAACCTACAACAAAGGAAGATACCACTACAACTGTGGAACCTACAACAACAGGAACTATCACTACAACTGTGGAACATACATCAACAGAAGCTGCCACTTCTACTGTAGAACTAACAACAACTGGAGATATTACTTCAACTGTAGAACCTACAACAACGGAAGCTATCACTACAACTGTACAACCTACAACAACAGAAGCTATCACTACATCTGTTGCACCTACAACAACAGAATCTACAAGTACAACTATAGAACCTACAACAACAGAAGCTACCACCACAGCTGTAGAACCTACAACAACGGAAGCTATCACTACAACTGTACAACCTACAACAACAGAAGCTACCACCACAGCTGTAGAACCTACAACAACGGAAGCTATCACTACAACTGTTGCACCTACAACAACAGAATCTACAAGTACAACTATAGAACCTACACCAACAGAAGCTATCACCACAACTGTAGAACCTACAACAACGGAAGCTATCACTACTACTGCTGAACCTACAACAACAAAAGCTTCCATTTTAACCGTAGAGTCTAAAACAACAGAAGCTACCACTACAACTGTACAACCTACGACAACAGAAGCTACCACTACAACTGCACAACCTACAACAGAAACTACCACTACAACTATTGTGTCTACAACAACAGAATATTTGCCAACATCTACACATACTAATGGCAGCATAAATTCAACCAATCTTAAATTCGGTAAACAAATTACTTAATCAACCCTTTTATGTGATACAAAGTAGAGCTATTAAGACTATTGGTTGTTTCTTTTCTAATTGATATGTACTTATTCATTTGTTTAGAAAGGCAAGTAAGGGTTGCATATATAAGAATTTCAAAATTGTGATGAAATATACTGAAACAAATATGCTGCTGTAGGCCTGTCTGGGTCAATGATAACCAGACTGCATTGTATTTTCTGACATTGCATCGTCATTTGTTTCATATCAGATCGCTCCATTAGGTTAATACCTTGTAAAGAAAAGGGTTGTGTTATGTGGATCCCTCTGATGTTTACCTTAAACGAACAGATTCGAAATCTTAGTTTTTTCGTCCTAGTATTAATGAAATTATTTTGGTATTTTATCGTCTTTGGAACAAACGTATCAATGATAGTAGCTTAATTAGTTAATATTCCTGAAAAAAAACCAAAAAACGTCAAGGTCACCTTATTCTTTGATAAATATTTTTTTTTTAATTGGTCCCCTTCGCTAACGTAGACATTGCTGATACATATATTAGCCCTTCTTCAACTATTTTTTCTATATTGTCATCATAAACTTTATTTGATCGAACGATTGAAATACGATTATCCCTAACGTATGCTTATTTGTATGAAATGTTTATCATTGAATGTTATGAAATCATCAATCAATCCTGAAGGTATGTTTAAGTCTGTTTTTCAGACACATTTTCTGTCACTAAATTCCTTGATAAATAAAATTTTCGTATTCACAATCATCCTTTTCAAAGTTTCAAGACAAAAGTCACAATGACCTTACGTTTTACTCAGATACTGCTATGTGTAATAAGGAGTGACACGCTTTTGGGATGTGGGATATAGGGGGTAATAAAAAGTGGGGATGTGGAATTAAGGGGGTAAAACAGTGGGATCTGGAAAAAAGAAGGAACTAAAAAGTTAGGTGGGAAATAGTAAAAACGGGATTTGGGAAATGAGCACCCCGTGTCACCCCTCTGTATAAGTATCCTCGGTTTTAATGCAGAAATGCAATCATTATTGAGAGTTTATTGTTTTAAAGCTATAAGCAATCAAATCCTACTTTTGAATGTATAATTGAGTATTATGTTAAGTTTAGTATTTCAAAAATCCACCGTAGTGCACTTATGATGTTCACTCTCTCAGTCCTCTTTATGGTACATTAGTACAATTTTGTATTTGTATCTACAAACACTTCATGATTTTCTAATTCTATATCAAGTTTGCAGTTAGGTTTATAATCAAAGTCAAATGGTAAATAAATTTATACGTAACAAATAAAGTAATAATGTGTTTAGAGAGTGGGGCTGGGTGGATCCGTATCTAATAGCCACGACCTTTTATCTGTCATTAATTTTTTTTATTCAGCTAACGATGAAGCAGACGATACCATCCAAACCGTTGGTATTGTCATTGGTGCCATAGCAGCCGCTGTAATTGTCACCGGTGTAGGTGCTGGTGTGGCAGTACTTAAGTATGGTGGAATGAGAAACGTCAGAAGAGCTGATCCATTCCATCGAAGAGTCAGTCCTTCAATAGAGGATGACATTCAAATTGAATCAGACGATGACCTTTTCGCGGACTACAACGACAGTGCACTTCCTCCGCGTTCAACAACACTTATAATATTGGAACCAGTAGATTCAAACTGCTGATTATTGTTGCTGTTCTGTCTGTTTATTAATATTTCATCATAAAGTTGTATAAATTACAAACTTAAACAAGTCAAAATAACTAATGATGATTGAAAAAGGACTCAGGTGTATCAAAAGTAAAAAAAAATGCCTTTGTGAAGCATCTATGGGTGAATTTTGCTTTGGGTTGCGGTAAAGTGCTGTCGAACAATTTAACGAGAGCAAAATGTCTTGCTTGATTTCAAATTAATTTGTGGTTTGTAAATCATGGTAACAAATCATTTTTATATTATTTTGTAAAATATCACATATTTTTTATACATGTTTTTTACATGTGATTGCGCATGCATGTATAAAGTTTGTTTTCTAAAAATACCATAATTTTTGCTTAATTCCTCTTTGGAGTAATCATGTTATACATAAACGAAACCAGACAATATACATGCATAAAATTGAGAATGGAAATGGGGAATGTGTCAAAGAGACAACAACCCGACCATAAAACAGACAACAGCAGAAGGTCACCAACAGGTCTTCAATGCAGCGAGAAACTCCCGCACCCGGAGGCGTCCCTCAGCTGGCCCCCAAACAAATATATATACTAGTTCAGTGATAATGAACGCCATACTAAACTCCAAATTGTACACAAGAAACTAAAATTAAAAATAATACAAGACTGACAAAGGCTAGAGGCTCCTGACTTGGGACAGGCGCAAAAATGCGGCGGGGTTAAACATGTTTATGAGATCTCAACCCTCCCCCTATACCTCTAGCCAATGTAGAAAAGTAAACGCATAACAATACGCACATTAAAATTCAGTTCAAGAGAAGTCCGAGTCTGATGTCAGAAGATGTAACCAAAGAAAATAAACAAAATGACAATAATACATAAATAACAACAGACTACTAGCAGTTAACTGACATGCCAGCTCCAGACTTCAATTAAACTGATTGAAAGATTATGTCTTCATCATATGAATATCAGGCACAATCCTTCCCGTTAGGGGTTTAGTATCATACCATCATAACATATATGAGAAGAACATAACCCGTGTCATGCCAACAACTGGTTTTAAATAAATGTGTTTAGTGCCGATATTTATATGCATTTTAATGCCGTAATGTCTTCACAAAAATGGGATCTTATTTAAAGGATGTATGGGATAAACACCAATGAGACAGCTAACAAATGATAAACGAAGGGCATCTAGAGGTGACTGTGACATATAGTCTTCAATAATATACAATTATAGCCTTTGTATGAGGTCGATACGATGTTATATCGACAGAAGAGAAGCATATTGACTGAAGACGAAGTCTGAGGTCGATATGCTTATCTAGGTCAATATAACATCGTATTGACCTGAACCAAAGGCTACAATTGTTATATTATTTATCAACAACTATTGCATGAACAATGTAAAATTAGGGATTTCTAGAATGTATTTTTAGTAACATGCTGTATGCCCTGTGCAATATGCTGTTTTTGACCTATTAAAAGCTAAATACAATAGTATTGGCGTGCAAACTGAGTACATGTGATCAAGTTTAACAAATCACAAATCCTTAAAAATATTCGATTAATAATATCATGTCATACCTATACTATATGGCAAACTCTAAACCGCTCGTTGTGTTAGTCTGAACAGTAAACTGACTTAATGAGGCCATCGTACTTAAAAACGTTTCTCGATATTTTGATTTTATTGAAATGTCATACGAGAATATGCTCCACCTGCTCGATCAATATAAATCGGCACTTATTCTCCAATGTCATAACTAAACACTGATTAAACGTTTAAAAGCAGTATATCAAAAACTTTTCTTTGTTTAACCATCGTTCTGAACATGTATTGAAATATTTGCCATTGGACGTTAAGCAATCAAAAAGCAATTAATAGATCTGTGTTTATCAGGGAGATCGATGAGTAATGACTAAACTTTAATGCTCAGCAATAGAAATTATACGATCGGAACAAAATAATCAATTCATTCCTACAAGATGTGAATCTCTCCATTTCAACTATACAGCAAACACTCATCTGCCGAAATATTTCCAGCTCGATCATCTTGGAGACTTTCTTGAGCATTTTTTTGTAGCAATCCTATTTTGTTTATCCCTGTTATTTTCCTACGAGATTGTAAATTGCAAATAGTGGGATACGTGAAACACGAGCTCTGGGCTTTTGTCTCCATCCTTATGTTATAGCCGGGTTCCAGGTTTTACTTTATGGGTTCCATAATATAGATGATGACTTATATATATAGACCATGCCGTCATGGCCACACATATAAAACATTTTAGTTCCAATAAAACAGTGACTTAATGGCGGTTTTCGGGCGTTTTTACCAATTCCTTTCCCTGTTTAATTTTACCACTAGAATGTACACTTGACTTGTAATTCAGGGAACCATTAATTTTAGGTTTTTGAGGAAATAATTGTGTATTAAATTTTAAAAACAAAAATCGCGCGGCAAAGCAAAAAAATAAGAATGCGAAGCAACAGATGAAAATGAATATTTAATCAGCAAAACATTCTCCTGTCTTCCATCCCCACCCAACCTGAATATCAAATGATGGTCCCCCAATTACCACTGGGACCTAACACATGCATAACTATTAATTCACACCCGTAGCTTAGGGGTTCGGGAACCCCCTCCCCTTCTTCTTTCTTCTTTAGGTACACAATATTCCATTGACATCCGATGATTACATATTGTCGCATACGTGGACTATTTATAAAATTTACCCCAATTTAAACAAGATATAATTATTTAGTGCAATGAATATAACAAATTTGTGATTAAAACTATATACACTCTTAATTTATTCCCCCCTTGGAAACAAAAATACCATAAAGTCAAGTTTCAGTTTGAAGTCAGAGCGTCATGACCCCAAATACCCCCCAAGAAACGTCCTGTCTACGGGTCTATGGTCCCAGTTTATAAGTTATAAGTAATATGAATTTTAAGGAATTTCACAATTTAAATACATATATATCATCACAAGTAGTCACTTAGTAATACATAAATGATCTGCAGCATAATCAAATTATTGTAAAGGACTGCGCATGCTTTTCACATACACCAAAAAAAAAATCTATCACTTAGAATTTCTGAGATACAATCCTAATAATAAATACACTATAACATCACCAAATGGAACAAAAATGCGGTCAAGGTCATAAGTTTGGCAAACATATTTCTAAAGATAAATTCACGCCATTTTCATATAGATACACAGGAAAATATACTTATTGCTTACCACTGAGCGTCAAATAAAAGGAAGATCATTTGACAAAATTGTGTCAGACGGATACATCCTCCTACTCAACAATTCACATACAAAAATTTTATTTACTTGTGTTTTATTGTCTTCGTAGAACAGACATAATTCTGAAAATTTAACCAATCCGCTTTAACGTGAAAGTGAAGTCAAGGCCATAGGAATGCGTCAGACTGTAATATATCTCTCACAACCAATCAAGATACGAAAAAAAACGGTTGATCTGTCATGGACAGTTATTAAGGAACAAACTTCATCAAGAATTCTGAACTTACCACTAGAGTATGAACATGAGGTCGAAGCCATATGAAATAAGTGTCAGACTGGCATATACTTTTCACAACCAATCTAGATTCCAAATACGGTTGACCTCTCCGCGTGTAAAGCTACTATGGAACAAATCTAATAATAAATACTTAACTGGCAACTGGAGCATGAAAATGAGATATATATCCTCATAACAAATTATCTTTGACCCATGTATGACCCTTCGTGTATAACAAAAGAGGAAAAGACCTCATCCTGAAAAATGAACTTAATCACTGTAGCATGAAAATGGGGTCAATGGCTTAATACTATGGGACATCACTATCAAATGGCCTTTTTAAAAGGTACGTTGAGGTATCTAATAATAGATATTTAATTGACCACTGGAGCTTTAAAATGAGATCAAGGCCATGTCATATATCCTCACAGCTAAATCTTTGATCCTTCGTGCATAACAAAAGAACCTGAACTTAATCACTGTAGCAATGAAAATGAGGTCAATGGCTTCCGGCATATTATAGGACATCACTAACAATTGGCTTTTTTTATAAGTTACGTTGAGGTATCTAATAAAAGATACTAGTACTTAACTGACCAATGGAGCATGAAAATGAGACCAAGGCCATATGACATATATTCTCACAACTAAATCTTTGACCCTTGTGTATAATAAAAGATGAAAGGACATCATCCTGAAAACTGAACTTATCACATGTAGCCATGAAAATGAGGTCTGGGTTAATATTATGGGACATCACTAACAAATGGCTTTTTTATAAGTTACGTTGAGGTAACTAATTAAAGATACTTAACTGACCACTGGAGCATGAAAATGAGATCAAGGCCACATGATATATATCCTCACAACTAAATATTTGACCCTTGTGTATAATAAAAGGGGAAAGGACATCATCCTGAAAACTGAACTTATCACTGTAGCATGAAAATGAAGTCAATGGCTTAATATTATGGGACATCACTAATAAATGGCTTTTTATAAGTTACGTTGAACAGAAGTATCAGATATTGAAGCTATCTCATTTAAAAAAAATGCATAATTGTTTAGTGAAAACCCTCTTTCATACAAATGGCAACTATGCTGAACATTGCTATTTATTTGAATAATGTGATTATGAAATATTTCCTCCATAACCAAGACTTATTCAATGCAAAAGGAAGTAAAAAATAAACTAACTGCCTGCGTTTATCTCAAGACTGGCAATAGGTTTGATCCTAGGTCGGGTCAAGTCAAAGACTTCAAAGGTAAGTAATTGCTGCTTTTTGACATACAGGAGCAAGCGCTAAGTAAGATTGGTCAGACTTCAGACAATATATCCTACAAAGGTAAAATGATGTCTTTCTGTATATTGTAACCTTTAGAGCAAGTTTGTTTTAAGATCTTGCTTAGCAGGTACCTCTCATACAGCATGTACAGAGTCGAGTTGATATTGCAGTAAGGTGTCCTCTTCTTGGATAGGGTTTTATAAATAACTGGTGAAATCCATCCATCAAAGCTTACTGATTTTACATACTTTGTTTTTACTTTTTTGTTCATATATTGTGCTGTTACACCACTGGCATGGGTAGGGGGTAGTTGAATATTCACAAACATGTTTTCTCGTTTTTTATATAGATTAGACCGTTGGATTTCCCGTTTGAATGGTTTTACACTAGTAATTTGTGGGGCCCTTTATAGCTTGCTGTTCGGTGTGAGCCAAGGCTCCGTGTTGAAGACCGTACTTTGACCTATAATGGTTTACTTTTATGAATTTTGACTTGGATGGAGAGTTGTCTCATTGGCACTCATACCACATCTTCTTAT